ATTATATTCTTTAGGCTTTTTCCAAAAAATGGGCTTCCCTTCGTATTCCAGGTCTCTGGAAACACTTGTCCTAACTAGATTTTAGGTCTTGTTAGTCTTGTTAACTCCTTAAAGTTGTGGATGGGAATTTAGTAATGCGTGTAGCACGCACAGGGAGCAGGCACCAAGCGCCCTCTGCGCATATCCTGGCGTTATTTTCCTCTTGACAGTTTCTGGTGAGCAATGAATCCCGTCTGGGTTCTGGTTCTCCCGCTGCTTCCAGTTGGGTTTGTCTCTGCTTCCCCTCGGTGCCCCCCACTGCCATCGGAGGGTGGGGCTTTGGGATTTCTGAGCCCTTTGTGTTCATTGTTTCATTGTCCCACGCAGTTTTATCAAGCACCCTCTTCGGCTGAGTGGTGGGTCAGACACTGGGGCACAGCTAGGGGGAAACAGCCCGCCTGGGACTCCCTCATGACCGTTTCCAGGTCTTTCCTGGTTCTGAGTTCAGAATTCTGACCCTGAGTCACATTAATCAGATTATGATCTAATCTTGATCACTCCTAGACATTTTGGAAAGGCTTTAGGGTTAGCGTACGTAAAATAGGCTTTTCACCTTGAACTCGACACTGCTTATTCACAGGCTAAGGCAGAGTTTAAGGAGAAAATGGAACTGTTTGTGTTAGCTGAGTTTGACATATTACCACCAATTGCCGTTGGGCTGCGTTTTTAACTGGGTTGTTTTGCCAGGAATGTAAATCAGGCATTACTCCTCAGATCCTCAGGTAACTGGGAAGACTGTCGAAGCCCCCGTGTTTCTTGACTTAAGTGTTTATTGCTTGATTTGTAATATGGGATTAGGTATGTTAAGTGAAGGAAAGGCTTTTAAAATTTTTTTGAAAGACAGTTGCAACTTAAGCATGTGGGCAAAATTACTTTTAGTGACTTGTTTTGCATATGTATTTATGAACTTTAAACTTTTTCTAATCACAAATATTATGCATGTTCATTAGTAATGTGTAAAACAGAAAAGCATAAAGAAATAAGATACCCAGGGGGAATCACCGTTAATATTTAGGTCAGCATCTAGGCTGCCTAACTTGCCAAATAATTGTAGCTTTTATATAAAAATGGAGATGTTCTATTTTTTTTTTTCCCCCACTTGGTAAGAGATCATGACTGTTTCCCCATGTTATCAGATAGTATACTATAGAATGACTTGGTAGTATTTTATTATGAAGTATTTTTCTGTCGTAATTTAGTTAGCCAGTCCTTAAATATTGGACATTTACTTGTTCTATGATTAGAATGAATGTAATTATACTCATCTAGTTATTTTCCTCGAACAGTGGTTTTATTGCATATGCGTTTTTAAAGGGATGGCTGTTAAACGTTTTAAAATGATTTTGACCCAAAATATCTGGCTAAAAATGATGGCAGATATTTCTCTGATCTTGGAATGGGGAGGGACTTTCTCATCACGAAAATATTAGAAGAAATTGCAAACAGATACTAGATTTGACTCAGAGATTAAAAATATATCCTTTATTTCGAGTCGCATAAACAGTGTGGAAAAAAGCAGTCATTTACTTTTTCTGGGGAAAATGTTTGCAACATGATAAAGGGTTAATGTCTTTATAAGGAGCTCTTACAAATGAATAAGAAAAAAATAAACGTAGTGAAAAAATGGATAAAAGGTACTCACAGTTCGTAAGAGAACTGTAGACGCACGGATCAAAGAAGTCAAGAATTGAAACCAGATGTCATTCTTCGCATGTCATATTTGCAAAAGTTAAAAAAGAATCTAGGAATGGCAAGTAAGGTTAACATACAGTTTTCTTTTCTTTTACTTTTTTTTGTTAGCTTGTCAGTTTCCCCAGAAGGAATTGGGAGAGTTTCCCATTTCCCATTTCTTACTGGGAAGGTTAAGAAATAACTAGCCTGTGAACTAGTCTGAGCCTGGCACTTTTTTTGAGGACAGTTCTTCGCTTTTGTAGTTTCCTCTATTTGTTTATTATTTGGTTTTCAAAAAATAGTTTTCCTAAAAAACTTGTCCACTTCATCAAGATTTTCAGGTACGTACGTGTACTGCTTTTGGAAGTCCTTTCAAAAATACGAACTAAATGTTAAAGCGGGAATAGTCCGTCGTGTTTTGTGTTTGCCCTTGTTTTCAGAAGATCTTCTTTGTCATATTCAGCAGGTGTCATTTGAATTTTTATTGAAGAGGTTTTTGCTTTTTAACTCAGGAGTAGGTGTTTTGTCAGCCTCTTTGGCATCTACTGAATTGATGCAATGATTCGGCTGCTCAAAGTTTCCGGCCGGTGGATGGTATTGGCCTTGGGGTTACATCCTTCCTGCTTCTGAAGCGTTAACATCCATTTTTAAGGAAATGGTAAAATACAAAGATGACGCTTCTATATTTCCCCTAAAACTTTTTGGCGAATGTGTTTTCTCTCTGACATCGAAGTCTGGAAGTCAAGGCATATAGTACTTTGGCAAACTCCAGTTAAGAAACAAGAGCAGCACTGTGAACATTTTCTTGTGAGTTCTGAGTGGCCTTTATTGGGGAAAGTCAGGTGGTGTGTCATTGTGCTCTAAGTGACATTTCCTCTGAATTACTCACTGGGGCCTGGGCTTTGATCTCAGTCCTGTAGCCTTGTGTGCAAAGGGCCGGTTTTCATGTTTCCAGAATCTGGGAGAACTTAAGGAGGGGAGGGGTGTTCTGCTGGCGCTGTGACACAAGTTCAAGGATGCTCACTGATAACTCAGTCTTGTTTTTGTTGAGTGGCTCCTCCTGCTTCATTCCTTTCTCAGAGATTCCCTTCTCCAAAATACATGTGTGTTTTTCCAGTATTAGAACTTCTGACCCAGTTCTGTGTTTTGGTTTCCGATAGCTGTTCAGTGGAGTAGAAAGCTGGTCCTTCCAAGTACTCGTCTTACCGATCAGCTTAAAAAAATACTTGCCAAAAATAAATCTTCATGGGTACCTTCACTTGCCCTTTCAGAGTTTTTCTGATTCGTAGCTAACATGACATTTTGTTAATTTGCAGCTTTGCCCTCATGGACCTTTTTTTTAATTAATATATTTTAGCTCTTTAAAGGTTTTACCAAAGAAGCATAAACATGTTGGAAAATAATTCTAACTTGTCAGAATTGTATAAAGCAAATTTTGAAAGTCACACCACCTCTTTACCCCCTACACTTCGAGGTGGCTTGATGTTTATCCTTTCTAACCCTTTGTGGTACCCACAAATATGTACTGTATAATTATACTTTTAATAAAAGTGGGATTATACTATCCATATTGTGCAACTTGCATTTTTCAAAGAACAGTAAATATTATTACAGTTTATTTAACTGAAAATAAGCTGTTCTTCTAAAGCTTTTCTTTTGTTACCTTTTTTCATGTTCCATTCATGTTCCATCTTTCCATTATTCCTCTTCTTGACTAATCTTCATTGATGGATGTTGCCTTTGTGCCTCCCTTCTGACTCTGTAAATTTTTAATAAACACAGCTTAAAATAGATTTGTGGTTGTGAAGATTTTATTTTGGGGAATCAGTTACCTTTCCCTTTTTTTTTTTTTGCCTTGCGTGCGACATATATTTAGAGGAAAACATAATTTCTGCATTCATATTCTCATCACTTAAAATGAGTAATATATTTTGTCCTACACGGCAAAAGACCACTGTCTAGTTTCTGAAATTAAGAAAAATATGGATCACTGGAGACTCGTTGAATGCTGGGCTGGTACAAGTCTAATGGCATATATGTGCTGATAACATCGGTGAATGGTGATGCTAACTCGCCTGGAACAAACAGTGGAATTGAAAGATTCGTAGCCTAAGTATTTTCCAATAAGAAACTTGGGATCTGGCTAAACCTGTGTCACTTGGTGGGTTTTTCTTCATAACGAAGGGCCAGGCTCATGACTGGTGCCACACTGGCTGTTCTGAGAGACAGCGAGTCAAGCTCTGGGTTCTTTTTATTGTAAAGTGAATGCATAGGTACAAGAGTATGCAAAACACATCCATTTAATAAGCAATAAAATGAACATCTGGTGACCTGTTGATAACCCAGTTTAAGAAATAGAATGTGACCCAGCTCTTTTGGAAGCACCCTCCCAATGTTTTAATACATTTTTAAGAGGCTTTAAAAGAACATGATTTTTGAGTAATTAAATCTTCTCTTCTGTTTTCCCCACAAACATAGTAATTTCAGTTTATTCTAGTGGTGGCATTGAGGCATGTGGAGTTACGACTAGAGATGAGGGCTCTGCTGTCATAGTCCTGATGGGCTCTGACCCCTGCGCTGTCACATCTCTTGCATGCTCCAGGACCTTGACCAGGAGGCCTCACCCCTCTTGGATTGTCTTACCTGTAAAGTGTGGGCCCAGGGGATCCCAAGGGTTGTTGTGAAGATGAAATTATGCATGTATAATGTGTCGCACAATGCCTGGCACATAGTGAGAACTAAAATCTTTAAAAACTTGTTTTGAATCAAGGCCTTGTGCTAGGGAATATGGAGTTAAAAAATTATCAAGGTGGGGCCGGCCCTGTGCCTGAGTGGTTAAGTTTGAGCGCTCTGCCTTTGGCGGCCCAAGGTTTCACCAGTTCAGATCCTGGGCGCGGACACGGCACCGCTCATCAGGCCGTGTTGAGGCGGCATCCCACATGCCACAACTAGAAGGACCCACAACTAAAAATATACAGCTATGTACTGGGGAGATTGGGGGAGAAAAAGCTGGGGAAAAAAATTATCAAGGAAAAAACCCAATTGAATGCAAAATTGCTTTTTCCAAGGTGTTCTAAAATACCATATTCCAAAATATTTTGTGCAAACGGGGAGTTTGTGATCCTGCCCAGGGACAGGCTGGGGCCTCAGAGATGTTCCTTAGGAGTGAGGAAGGAATAGAACGGGTTCCAGGATTGGGCACAGCTGAGGGAGAAGTCTGCTCGTACCAAGTGACTCCTGCTAGGTTTATTATTAGTCTTTATTTTTATTTACCATTTGTTTTTCTCCAGCTAGGTCTTGACTCTGCTAACCGGGCCTCCCCATGTGGTTTTGACCTTGGACCTCGGCAGGACAAGGAGATGTAGCTCAGCGGCTGGTACCGGGAAGCGTATGGACAGGTGCATGTCACAGCATTTAGGTGCGTCTGAAACCCGGTCTTTGTCCCGCTGAGTTTCGTGATAGAGTTGTGCTGACAGCCCTTTGGTGTTAGAACTCTTATGCTTGCCCTCTCACCCTTTGCACATGTCAGCAGCGGTCTAAATGCAATCTTGGGAATAATGAATTGTTAGGTTAATGCTAATGATAAGGTAATGGGCTTCTTTAGGCCAAATTCCGAGTAAGTAGATTAAACTAGACAATAAACGGGCATAGTCTTGCTGCTTATACTCATTACAAGGTAGGAGGTAAATATTTTCGTTTTCCTTTACGTACTTTCAATTTTTTTATCAGTGAACATTTGCGTACCTACTGCTGTTGGTGTTCTCCGTCAGGGTCACAGGTCTGAGTCCTGGGGATCAAGAGCTTTAAGAGCTGTTCCTTCACCCTTGTTCAGGCATTCTGCAATTTAAGTAGTGAGACTAAGCACATAGACATTACGAAGGAGCATGCCTTCTTGTTTTTTTTTTTTTTTCCTCTGCTGTTGTCTCCTTCATCCCAAAAAGCTTGATGGGCATTTCGGTTATTTTAAAATTTTTGCTATTATAAACAATACTGCAGTGAAATTTCTTGTATATATTTTGGGGAGAATAATCATAAGTAAATTCCTGGCAGTAAAATTGTTGGGCATAGAGTGGAAGATTTTTCGGTTTTTTAATTTTGGTAGATATTGGCAAATTGTCCTGCAGAGAAGGCTGAGAATTTACACCCCTACTGATAAACATTCTCTCAAACACTTTGTCTTCTCACAACTAAATTTATTCAGTCTGGTGGGTGTAAAATGTTATGTGAGTGGTATTTTTATTTATTTACTTTTAATTTACATACAGTACCAGTCACTATTTAGGTGTACCATTATAAGAGCTTTCCCAGATGCTTAGAGTGGATCACTCCTTTTCAGAAAATGTTTATTTTCATTCTCTAATAAAAGAAGGCTGTGCTTTCTATTTAAAAAATAAATTTTAAAAACTTGGGAAATTCCAAAAATTAGAAAGAAGTATCCTTGATCCTACCACCTAATGAGACCACTGTGAACATTTTTGTGTTTTTCTTTTATTCTCTTTGTTTTCTGTGTGTAGCTTTTTTTTTCCCCGTAAGCCGTCATCGTCAAATTGTATGTGTTACTTTCTCAAAAGTGTTATTTATTAACGATGAGGGAGGTGAGGGGGAGACAGTTCCATCCGGGATACCTACAAGATAAGTGGTCTCCCAGCTGGGAGCGTCAGTTACACCTTTGTATCTCCATCCGCAGATCTCCTTCTCTGCTCTGTTCTTTCACGGAGCTTCTCTTTCGAAGCTCTGGTGGTTTTTGGTGAGCACTTGCCAAATGCACCTGCTCCTGCCAGCCCAAAGTCTGCATGCCCAGACCTTGTTCCTCACCTGCCTCGTCATGCCCTTTTCCTTCCTTACTTCCGAAGGACACTCTCTTGTTTTTTTCCCAAAGGTCATCTTTGACACCAAGTCTTAGATTTTTTTTTTCCTTTGAAATCGCTCCCTCTGTCCATCCCTTTTTCTCATCGCTCCGAGCATACAGGTGACAGTTCACTGCCTGGCTGTTCGTAGCTGAGGACACCGGCTCTGCCCACTGCCTAGAACCTGCAGACCATTGCCTGGTTCTGACTGAGGCGCATTTTAGAAGTTGATCCACAGATGCCGAGGGACTTAGACATAAACTGGATCAAAAACTTGAAGGAGTGAGGAGAAATTTTTGTTTTGTTGGTGGCTGATTTCTGAGAGGCCGTGTCTGGTAATTCTGGTGTTTTTGGTTTACAGACTGTGGGCTGTTGACGTCAGTGTCCCAGTTTCTCATTACTAACCATGTTATATAAAAATGCTGCGTTGTTTATAGTTCGATCAGTAGCAACAAGAGAATTAAATATTTACGGGAAAAATTGAGTAGTTTCAAAAACCTCTGTAAACACTAAGGATGATTGCGGAGCTTACATAAGAAGGTGAGGCGGGCGGATGGGAGAGTTGTGTAACGGTCACTCTGAAAGAGGTTCTAAGCATCTTAGATCAGCTCTGGCCCCTTCAGTTGGGTATGTTTTAAAATCAATGTGTTAGTGTTGGATTAAGACCAGCTGTTTACAAATTTTCTGAATCATTTGCTGACTTTCCGTTTGGTATGGAAAAATCTCGTCAGTAAATTTGTCCCATTCCTTCTAATGATAATTCTTTTTAATTACAGGTATTATTTTGTTTTAGGTTTGCTGTACGAAACCAGAATCTGCAATTCAGTAGTTTTGAAGCCCCTCTGTATTTGAGTAGTGTTTAGTCTTGGATGGATCCTGTGTTTTTTTTTTTTTTCTGAGGAAGATTAGCCCTGAGGTAACATCTGTCAACCCTCCTCTTTTTGCTGAGGAAGACTGGCCCTGAGCTAACATTCGTGCCCCTCTTCTTCTACTTTATGTGTGGGACGCCTACCACAGCATGGCTTGCCAAGTGGTGCTGTGTCCGCACCCGGGATCCGAACCTGCGAACCCTGAACCGCTGAAGCAGAATGTGTGAACTTAACCACTGTGCCACCAGGCCGGCCCCAGATCCTGTATTTTATTTAGATTTCTTGTGCTGATTCTGAGCTTCCCTGAAGAACCCTTGGTTCCCCTTATGACCTTTGGGCTTGTGCTTCTTAGCACGTGGATTTCTGCTCTGGCCTTTCTCACATCTGCTCTTTCTGTCCTTCTCCCAGTGCTGAGAAGTCAGGGTATGCACCTGCTCCCCTCCATCAGTGCAGGCTGCAGAGCTGACTGTGGTGGAGGGGTGGTAATAGAGGGTTTGTTTTGTTGTTTGGACTCAGATATATGGCCCTGCCTATGTTGTGTGTGTGTGTGTGTGTGTAAATCAAAGTGTCAGAACACACTCCTTGGTTGGAGTCCGATCATGATTACCGTGGTTGTGTGCTCTGAAATAGCATTTACTTTTCTCTTTTCCTGGTATCCACTTTCTTTAGACCAGCGCTGTCCAATATAATTATAATGGGAGTCCCATATGTAATTTTCTAGTAATTATATTAAATACAGTAAAAAGAAGCTGGTAAAATTAACTTTAGTAATATGTTTTATAACCTAATGTATAAAAAATGTTAAAACTTCATGTAATCAATATAAAGTTATTAATGAGATATTTTACTTTTTTAAATAATAATTCTTTGAAGTCTGGTGTGTATTTTACACTTACAGCACATCTCAGTTGGACTGATTGCATTTCACGTGCTCAGTAGTCACATGGGGCTGGTGGCACAGCTCAAGGCCCACGTTGCTTTATCTGCCACTGAGTAATAAGTTTTCAGCTTGTAAGCTTTTGGGTTTTTGGGTATTTCGTAATGCCACCCACTTGTCACAGATTGCATGATAACATATACTCATAGTTGAATGATGCCTCGATCAGCTTCCCTTTTCTCATTTTTTTTCCTTTCAGTTTGAGAGGTTTCTTACTGCTTGGAAAAGGCTTCTGAACCAATTCAACAGGTAAATCGATAGGCAGTATTTCTAGATGTTAATTCATTTGTGCCTGATTTGAGAATAAAATAAATCCTTAACATACTTACACATATATGTATTTATATATAAAATTTTTTTTAGTAATTTTCTATTTTACCCAAGAATCACAAATACATTTTGTAGTTTATAATTTTAGACACATTAAAGTTTAGGGTCCAATGAACGATTCTCATTTCTTTTAAAAGAACTGATGGCCTAGGAAAATGTGAAGTACAGTACTGTTGTTAGACAAGCATGGCCTTTGGAAGATTGAAGAGAGTAGAAGGATATGAGGAAGAACAGGAGAATCGGGACCTCCTGAACACGGCTTTGCAGAACGTTTGGAGAGCCTGCCTCTTGACCACACTTCTCGTCTCCTTAGTTACTCTGCTGCTGTCAGCAGCTTCTCAGAAATGGGGGCCGTGAGCGTCTAGTGACAGGGAAGCGCTGACCCGCCCTGCTGCTGTTTCAGGAGCACAGTGCCTACATCAGTATGGCGTGTGTGTTCCACTTTGAGTCCCTTAATGTCTCCCTCTAGTTTGTCTTGCCTGCATATTTATCTCAGTATTGTCCTTCGGCAGTGACTTATGGTTTAAAAATTAAAGTGATATGCACACATTATAGAAAATTAAGAGCAGAAAGTCGCTTATAACCCTGTGATCTAGTGGTAATCACCCCCCTTGCCAGTGCTTCCTCCGTTTTCTCTCTGTACACACTGTAATGGGGTTATCATGTCTGCTTTGTAACTGGCCTTTTCCTCCACTCAGTGATACACTCAACACATTCCATCCCAGGGAATACGTCTAGTACCAATTTCTTTTTTTTGGAGGAAGATTAGCCCTGAGCCAACTGCTGCCAATCCTCCTCTTTTTCCTGAGGAAGACTGGCCCTGAGCTAACATCTGTGCCCATCTTCCTCTACTTTCTATGTGGGACGCCTACCACAGCATGGCATGCCAAGTGGTGCCGTGTCCGCATCCGGGATCGAAACTGGTGAACCCCAGGCCGCCGAAGCGGAACTTGCGAACTTAACCGCTGCACCACTGGGCCGGCCCCAGTACCAATTTTTTAATCTCCACAATATTCTATTACAGGAATGTACCTACAATTTAACCAGTTTTTTATTTTTAGACATTAATAATTTCCCCTCTAGTTTTGGATTATTCTAAGCACTATTTTAGTGAACAGTCTCATAATGAAAAATTTTAGCCTTTTAAAATTATTTTGTTATGATAAATTCCTTAAGAGTAGAATTGTTGGGTCCAAGGCTATGTGTATTTTACTGATGTTGTTAAATGACCATCTAGAAATGTTAAGCCAGTTATTACTCCCGCTAACAGTATATCCAAGTGCCTGCCTGCTAAAGGGAATTAAAAACGTGATTGGATAATCTTATGAGTTTGTTGAATGAATTATGAAAGATAGGTTTTGTTTATGCTCTTTTGGATTTTTCACATTTTTTATAAGAAAGCTTATACATGAATTATATTCCTGTCAGGAACACA